CCCAGCATCCCATTCAATTCCACTTATTCCTTGTCAGTCGTGTGGTGGAACTGACACAAAGGTACTAACTGCTAGTTAGTTTGAGTTCCCTGTTTCCATTCTGAATGTTACCTGAGACAGGTGCCTCACACTAGAATATACAAATATGCTTCATAAAGCTTTTAGTGCAACTGATGTAACTTTAATGAACTATCAATAATAGTATCCAAACTATTTTGATAGGCCCAATTTTCCTCACCCTATGCAACTCCCCTCAATTTCTACCTCCAACGACCCACATACCTATAATTCTTGGTTTGCCGCATTAACCTTGTCTTATCACACATTTCAGTCTTGGGGCTTCTCTGAGCTTCTGTCTGAGTGGTTGTGGGATGTATGAAGCTGGCAATAGAGTACTGTTAACAGCCAGAAAGTCATAGAATCATACAATACAGAAGAGGCATTTCTGCCCATCAGGTCCATACCTTCAAAAATGTACTACTCCCTACATAATCTCACTTTCCCACAATAGGCCCATAGCTTTGAATGTTGTGACACTTCAAGTACTCATCCAAGTACTTTGTAAAGGTTGTGAGGTTTCCCACCTCAACAGTCCTCCCAGGCTGTGCATTCCAGGCCCCTACCACACTCTGGGTGAAAAGGTTTTCCATAAATACCCTTTAAACCTCCTACCTTTCACTTTAAAATTATGCCCCTATATTATTGAACTTTTGACTAAGGAGAACAGCTGTTTCCTATCCACAATGTCCATGCCTCTCAATCTTTTATACCTCTATCAGGTTCCTCCTCAACCTTCTCTGCTCCAAAGCAAACAGCCTTAGCTTATCCAGCCTCTGTTTATAGCTGAAATGCTCCATCCCAGACAACATCCAGGTGAATCTCCTTTGCAGCCCTCCATTGTAATCACATTTTTCCTATACGAAGCAGCATGGTGGTTCAGCAGTGAGCAATGGTGCCTCACAATGCCAGGGACCCTGGTTCAATCCCACACTTGGGTGACTGTCTGCATAGAGCTTCTAGATTTTACCCATGTCTGCATGGGTTTCTTCAAGGTGCTCCAGTTTCCTCCCACAGTATAAAGATGCACACATTAGGTAGATTGGCCATGCTGAATTGTCCATAGTGTCCAGGAAATGTGCAAGCTAGGGAAATGCAGGGTTACAGAGAGATGGGTCTGTTTGAGATGCTTTTCGGCGAGTTGGTGTGGACATGATGGGCTTAATGGCCTGCTTCAACGCCATAGGGATTCTACAATATAGTGTAATGACCAGAACTGTACAGGGTGCTCTAGCTGTGGCCTAAACAGAGTTCTACGCAGCTCCGGCATGAGCTGTTCTTATAATCTTTGCCATGACTGAAAAGGTAAGCATCCAGTTTGCTTTCTAAAACTACCCAATTTACCTTTCCTACTATCTTCAGGGATCTGTGGACAAGCACCCCAAGGTCCCTCTGTTCCTCTGAACTTCCTAGTGTTTTGCCATTCATTGTATAACTTGTCTTGTTCCTTCTTCAAAAGTGCATCACCTCATATTTATCAGGGTGATGTTCCAAGTGCCATTGATGTGTCCATCTGACTAATCTGTTAGGGTGGCACAGTGGTTAGCACTGCTGCCTCACAGCGCCAGGGACCCGGGTTCGATTCCAGCCTCGGTCAACTGTCTGTGAGGAGTTTGTACGTTCTCCCCGTGTCTGCGTGGGTTTCCTCCAGATGCTCCAGTTTCCTCCCACAGTCAAAAGATGTGCAGGTTGGGTGGATTGGCCATGCTAAATTGCCCATAGTGTTCAGGGAGGTGTAGATTGGGTTGTAGGGGGGTGGGTCTGGGTGGGATGCTCTGAGGTTTGGTGTGGACTTGTTGGGCCGAAGGGCCTGTTCCCACACTGTAGGGATTCTGTAACCTAACACCTTCCTCCTTACTGTCAACCGCCTGGCCAATCGTTGTGTATCCACAAACTTACTAAACAACCCCCACATTTTATTTACATCATTTACAAATGTCACAAACAATAAGGGACCCAGCATTGATCTCTGTGGTATGCCATTGCACACCAGGCTCCAGTCACACAGTCTTCTACCACCACTCTCTGTTTCCTGTCACAAAGCTAATTTTGAAGCCAACTTGTCAAGTTACCCTGGAATCTGAGATTTTAACTTTCTTTATCAGTTTCCCATACAGGACCTTGTCAAAGGCCTTGCTGAATTCCATTCAAACTATAAACTACATCCATATGGCCCTTTTGTGGTGCAGTGGCGGTACCAATCCCCTGGGCCAGGATGCCTGGGTTCAAGTCCTTCCTGCTCCAGAGGTGTGCAATAACATCTCTGAACAGGTTGATTAGGAAAAAAAAACAACAGCAGCCTGTTATGTAATACATGGTTAGGGTAGAGTTCAAAATTAGGTAGCATATTTGTAAGGTGAGAAGAGAAAGATTTAAAAGGGACCTGAAGGGCAATTTTTTCATACAGAGGGTGGTTTGTATGTGGAATGTACTGCCAGAGGAATTGGGAAATGCAGATACTGTTACAACATTTTAAAGACATTTGGGTATGTACATGAGTAGGAAAGGTTTAGAGACATATGGGCCAAACGCAGACAAGTGGAACTTGTTTAGTTTGGAAACCCAGTCGACATGGACAAGTTGGACCAAAGGGTCTGTTTCCGTGCTGTATGACTCCATGACTATAACTGCCCTACCTTATCGAAATACTTGGTCACCTCCTCGAAAAATTCCACCCCATTTATTAGGCACGACCTCGCTCTGAAAAAGCCATGCCGATTATCTCTGATCAAATCTTATCTGTCTGAGTGGAGATTAATTTTCTGCTTCACTATTTGCTCCAGTAATTTCCCTACCACTGATTTTGAAGTCCTGAAGTTCTCCAGCATTTTTTTGGGTGGAAGATGCTGAAGGAACATGATGGACTTCAGGGCCAGTGTATAATCGCCAGCCATCTCAGTTACCTGTCTTCCTGTTGCAACCTTCTAAATTTCTAGTATTTCTTACTAATGGATGAAATGAATTTTCAAATTCTCCTCAGACAATTATTTCCTAAGTTTCACATACATAGTCTCCTGTTTTTTAATACCTGTGTTCAACAGTCAAAGTTATTTTGCTTCACCTTCAAATTTTATTTGTTCAGGCTGTTTCTGGATATTCTGAAATTTTAGCCTGTCTGCCTCGGGGACCAACTCCTACGCACCAAGAATTGGCTGTTTTCACACCTCAATCAATAGAAGCATTTTCAGAGAGCAAGGCATAAATGTAATGAGCTTTGCCAATTAGCCTGCATTACATGAACAATGTCAAGTTTCTTTTAGTGGCTTCATCTGCTTAGTTACCTTTTCAAATAAAATGAAAATTGCCTCAGTGTCCATTTCATCAAATTTTAGGAGGGCAATTTTTAAAAAATTACCTGTTCCTGTTTGGGTCTTGAACTAGAGTCTGATCTCCCCTGTAAGAATGTTCCCTGGAGTCAGATATGTCTTTGTTTAAGTTGGTATTCTCTCTCCCTGGCCTTTTCTCACACTTTAAATTCTAGCTCTAACTTCTTAAGTTCTTTTTCTTTATCCTCTCTCAAGTGCTTGCTCTTTTTGTGCTCTCAGTGTTTCTTCTTCAAGTTCAATTATTTTAATTTCTATTTCTTCTGCTGTTCAAGCTACTTCATTTGCTGATATCAGACTTATGAACAGACCTCTTATATAGGACAGCTGATCTTTCTCTGCACCTCCTCTGTAGCTGTAACACTGTATTCTGCATTCTGTTCTACTACCCTGATGTACTTGTGTAAGGTATAATTTGTCTGGATAGCACTCAAAATAATACTTTTCACTGTATCTCGGTGCATGTGACAATAATAAATCAAATCAAATTAAAATCAAAAGATTACTATTGAAATCTCACTAACTCAATTAACTCATCATCTGGTTTGTCTTTCAGTTCTAATTACAAATGTGCTATTACATCAATTATGCTTACCTTTCTAGTCCCTACTTTTATCATTCATCTAACTTCCCAGTCAATTCAATTAGCTTAATCATGATAATTCTTTGCAAATCATTCAGGGATAAATACGCCGACACCAACCACCACCCCCTTACCAAGCAATTGTCAAAACTATTTTGATATAATAATGAATAAGAAACCTGACGCATTTCTTTTTATCCTTTTCCAAATATTAGTATCCTGGTCCCAATTAAACTTTGACTGCATTGGGAATCTTGATCGGAGTCCCCAGTTTTATGTTATAACTGAGGTTGGAGGAGTATACTGCTGCTTTAGTTCAATGACTCCAAGCCAACCTTTTTTAAATAACAAGCTCTATCAACCAGGTTTCTTAATAAAGACTGTTATTGCTTTATTCAATAAAGCTGCAACAATTGGTTAAAACACATACACAAACACATACACAAACACATACACACACACACACAGAGTCAGTAGTATAGAAGTATAAATGCTTATCTCTCTAAACATCAGTAAAACATACGATCACTCTACAGGAAATGAAGAAAGAACGAGATTTAATGGCAGTTTGTTGTTCTGATTTTCTGGCTAGTGTGATCATGTCACTAAACAGGTATGGTTGTCTCTGAAGTCTTGCAGACTCAGCTTGCTCAGCAACAATGACTTTGAATTGTTTCTTCAATCATTCTTTTAAAAGAACAAATTGGTTTCACCCTGAACTCAACAAGAAGAAATCAGCTGGGTAGCTTGCTCTTAGCAGGTTTCCTTCCAATTGAGCCAAATAAAATAAGAACCTCTTGATGCTGGTCACTGTTCAAAACAGGGATTTACAACAAAGCAAGCAATTATCACCAGTCTTGTAACTTCCAGGAAACTTGTTAAAAAATCTCCAATGTCCACTATGAGCTTTCAACAATTTTTTTTTAAAGAAGCCACTCCAGATATTTCTATGAAAACTTGAAATAACTACATTTTTCACAATACTTTAAAATTTAAGTCCTCCAAACTTGGAATATTAAACTGTGACAGCTACTTACTGCCTGCTTGCACCAGGAGCAGCTGATGGCAATGATTTCCTTACTGTGGAAGGAAAACTTCTGTTGGAAACCCTGCAAAATAAAAAAGATTACAATTTACAGACCAGTAGAGACAGTATAGCCACTAAAAGAGGTGTTGATCACGCTCTCTTAAAAAGATCTGAAAACATATCTGGAGCACCTTCAGGCTGAAGGGTTCATTTCCAGCTGAGCATCCTGCTGGATATCGTAAGTCCCATCAGCCTCAGATGAGCTGTCTGCGGCCTGAACCACCTTCTTGTTCAGGTTTCATTAGCATGCCGTTGGTGAGCTGCTCACTATTCAGAAGGTGCAAGTAACCCTACCAGCCCACTGTACATCTAAATTCCCAACTGGGCTGGTGCTGCTCCTGGGACTAGGATACTAAAGGAGATTTATATAAACGATTTGGATGAGAATTCAGGAGGCATGGTTAGTAAGTTTGCAGATGACAGCAAAATTGATGGTATAGTCAACAGTGACGATGGTTATTAAAGATTACAAAGGGATTTTGATCAGTTGAACCAATGGGCTGAGGACTGGTAGATGGAGTTTAAGTTGGATAAATGTGACGTATTGTATGTTGGTAAAACAAGCAAGAGCAAGACCTATACATTTAATGGGTAGAACCTGGGTGGTGTTGTCGAACAGAGAGACCTAGAAGTTTGAAAGTTGCATCACAGACAGGGTGGTCAAGAAGGCGTTTAGCAAGTTTGCCTTCATTGCTCAGACCATTGAGTATAGCTGTTGGAACAGCATTTTGAGCTTGTATGGAACATTGGTGAGGACACTTTTGTGTACAGTTCTGGTTGCTTTGCTATAGGAAGGATATTATTAATTTTGAGAGGGTTCGGAAAGGTTTTACCGAGATGATGCTGAGACTGGAGGGTTTGAGTTATAAGGATAGGCTGGGACTTTTCTCACTGGAGCATTGGACGTTGAGGGGTGACCTTTTCTAGAGGTTTATAAAATGATGAGGGGCATGGATAAGGTGAAAGCAAAGATCTCTTCCCTAGGTTGGGCGAATTAAAAACTAGGACCATATTTTTAAGGTGAGAGGAGAAAGTTTAATTTGGACCTGAGTGGCAACTTTTTCACACAGAGAGTGGTTTGCATGGGGAATTAACTGCCAGAGGAAGTGTTTTAGATGCAGGTACAGTTACAACATTGAAAAGACATTTGGACAGAAACGTGAATAGGAAAGGTTTAGAGGGATATGAGCCAAATGCAGGCTAGTGGGACTAGTTTAGTTTTGGGAAACTTGGTTGGCATGGACAAGTTGGATCGAAGAGTCTGTTTGTTTGCTGTATGACTCTAGGTCATGGTGACATGGTCGCCATTAGGCTAGCTTTTTAAAAAAATACCAGATTTTTTTTATACAATTCAAGTTTTAACATCTGCCGTGGAGAAAATATACCCCAGATTTGAATTTTTTCCTGGGGTTCTGGATTACTAGTCTAGTTACATTATCAATACCTACTTTTCTGTACTCTGGGATAAATAATGGGGAAGGATCAAAGGTATTTCATTTGGAATAGAAATTGACACACTTCATGCTAATAATTTGGAGCCTTACCTTAATTCTGACTAGAAAGGGAAATAGGATGTTACACAGGAGAATTTGCAGTATTGGGATTTGGATGAAGAATCACATATCACAAAGGGGAGAATGAGTGGTTATGATGAGTGGGGCAAATATTGGGACAGTAAGTGGCAAATCTACAGTCATTGCAAATGCAAAGCTAATTTGGGATATCAGAGAATGGGATGGACAGAATGGAACAATGGCGCAGGAGGGTAGATTCATACCTTTCCGCATTGCTTGCATTTTCCTTCCTGACGCCGTCTGTGAACCCAATGATGTCTCACAAAACTCTGCTGAAGAGATCACGTTACTTTAAATAATCACTTCTTACAGCTCTAGACTGAATTTCTTACTTAATCTGACTTAGTCCAAGATTCATTTGTTGCTCATCTCTAATGGAAGGTGGTGGATGTGGTACCAATCAATTGGTCGCTTTGTCCTGGATGGTGTCATGCTTCTTCAGTTGTGTTGGAGCTGCACACATAGAATCATAGAATCCCTACAGTGTGGATGCAGGCAAGTGGGGCTTATTCCATCATACTCCTAACTTGTGGCTTGTAGGTGGTGTACAGATTTTAGGGAAACCAGAGGAGAGTTACTTGCTGCAAAATTCCCAGCCTCTGATCTGGTGTGTTTATTTGCTGGGCACACACACACACACCACACAGAGCAGTCATGCAGTTGTAATAGGAAAGGGGTATCAAACCATACTACAGCAGTTCAAAGCATTGTGAATCAAATTTAGAACCTTTAATACTATTCAGCACCAGGATAAATGATGCCTTTACTCAAAACCACTGTCAATAGAGCAACCATTTGTATTTATTGGGGTTTATTTATATATTGCTGTTCCAATGAGTTATATAAATAGTTCCAATACAAGAAAGGACATTTTGTTCCTCTTGTCTAACAAATACCTTAGCATCGATGAGTAAGAGCGTGATTTGTAAGGTGCCAGTACTTACCTCTCTGAGAGAACGGCTACCTCCCTCCCGGTAGGTTGGCTTGCAATGGAAACTGATCTAAATAAAAATCAGCAAGAATTTCCAACATAAGGTTGTGTTTCTTCTGGGTCTCTTACTCTAACTATTTACTACAAAAAATGGAGGAATTACTGCATGAAAAAAAGAAACAATCCTGTAAGTTTATATGTGCATTGGCTCCAAGGTTTATCTATTTCTGTGCCAGTTGGATCCCGATTATCCACATACTAACGTCAGCGAGCTGATAATCACTGGTTGGAAACCAAATCTATCGGCAGCCTGTGTCCATACGAACCAGGCAGATACATTGCCAACTTAGTCCCAGTGTTTATGGAAAGTACAGCAAGACTTGGAAAGCTGTGTTCATGCAATTTCAGGTAAATTGGAGATTTCACATTGCTTAAATAGGTATTCAACAACCTTGGATTAATCACTACAGATAAACTCAATGTGTATATTTCTTCATTTTTTGCAGCAAAGGTCAAAAGTGCTTTACGCATACTAAATTAGTTTGAACTGCTGTCATATTAGTTGAGCATTACAGTGATATTATGCTGAACAATATCGTACAATGGGATAATCTTCTTGTTTCTAGTTGAGAGAGGGATATTGGTCTGGATATTTGGAGAACTCCCTTGTTCATCTTTGAATACTATTGTAGAATCTGCCTGAGAGAACAGATGGGCCCTCACTTTAAAGTCTCATCCAAACTGCTGCACCCGTGAGGATGCATCAGTGCTCCAGTACAAAGAAAATCTGACAATCTGAAGAATAAGCATAAACCTGGACAGAGAAAAGCTCCCCTTGTCTTTGATGAATTGTATTGTGGGATTGTTTACATTCACTCAGAGTTTTAACACCTCACCAGAAAAGATAGCACCCCTTTCTACCTAATGTGTACTGGTACGAAGGTGAGGTCTAATGGCATGATTATGTTTTGAATTGTCTCTTGAGTTCGAAGTAAAAAGGAGTAAATGATCTGCTAGATCCTATGCCTGACAACAAGCCTGTTTGACTTGGTAACTGTGGAGACTGGGGATCCAGATGATTGAGAATCCCACCGTATACAATTAGGAATATCTGCCACCCCACCAGGCACCTAGCTGTCATGATAATGTAAGAACTTTATCTTTTCCTGATTTTAGGTAGCACAGAAAACAGAGAAATAGCAAACTGCAGCGCAGATAGTCCAAAGACTGCCTCTTCTATTGATGACCTGTAAATATCAAAGGCCAGGGTGTGTCTTACCTTCTCCAGCTGTTCCACACAAACTGTGTGCACAATTATTTTGCAAGCAGCACACTTTCTCCTCGGAGCTGACTTCTGAAATGAAAATAGGTAAAATTTAGAAAAAAAGAAATAGAAACAAAAATTGAAACATCTATCCAAAATCACACAAGGTTATTCACAGTAATCACAGTAACCAGGGGGCATTCTGATTTGTTTTATTCATTTATGGGATATGGGTGTCACTGACTTGGCCAGTATTTATTGTCCATCCCCTAATTTCCCTTGAGGAGGTGGTAGTGGTGAGCTAAATTCTTGAACTGCTGCAGTTCTTTGGGTGTACATAAACCACAATACTGTTAAGGAGGGGTTTCAGGGATTTCGGCTACAGTGAAGATAAAGTGACATAGTTCAAATCAGAATGGTGAATGGCTTGGTGAAGAACTTGCAGGTGGTGGTACTCCCATGTTGGTAGAGGTCATGGGTTTAATGGCAAGGTGGGAAGAGCCTTGATCAGTTGCTGCAGTGTATCTCATAGATAGTACACACTGTTGCCACTGTACAGCAGTGGTGAACAGAGTGAATGTTGACGGTGATGGATGTGGTGCCAGTCAAGCAGGCTGCATTGACCTGGAAGGTGTCAAACATTTCGCGTGTTGCTGGAGTTGCACTCATTCAGGAAAGTGGGGAGTATTCCAGCACATCCTGACTTGTACAGCAGCGGCGGCGAAAGCAGGCCAGTGAGGCAGCAGCAATCGGTGGCAAGAACTAGCTGCTGAGGTGACAGCATTTGGCAGTGAGCATGGGCCGGTGAGGCAGTGGCAGCAGCGAGAGCGGGGCAGTGAGGCAGCAGCAATCAGTGGCAAGAGTGGGCCATGAGGCGTCAACGGCAGCGAGAGCGGGCCTTTCGCATGGCAGCAGCCTCCTGGATGTCCTAGCGACTGGAAAGGTGCCTGCACCATTGTGGAGTTGGGACTTGGGACTCTGAGATCTGGACTTTTTTTTTCTCTTACTTACCTTTTGGCTCTTTTAAATCTTTTAATTCTGGTGTTTGTAACCAAGTGGATACCAGTGAATGGCGACTTTGTGCACTTTTCGCTGTCCTTATGTATTCCTATACTTAGTACATTTGACAAAAAAATAAATCTAAATCAAAAAAAATCTAAATCTTTTGCCTTATAGATCATAGACATGCTTTGAGGAGGCAAAAGGTGAGTTACTTGCTGCAGTATTTATATAACTAGTCTGTTTAGTTTCTGGTTAATGACTCCACTTCAGTCATCTTCTGGTTTACTTAATGATTTTTACCATGCGGCTCCCTCTCTGATTCATTTACAATGATTCTCACCAACCCACTCTGATCTACTCAACAATCTTCAACAGGGATCACTCCCAAATTTAGTCTTCTAGATCTAAATTAGTTTCCTGACTGAGTTTTAGTATGAAATGCTCCGTCTTGTTTATTAACAATTGTTTTGTAAGGAGTAGCTAATCTAAAGGTACTGCTTACTAATGGTGCTTCTTCTTGTTTATTTATTGAAGTACACTATGTAGCTCTCTCAAGCTCATTAACAATTCTAACTCAATATTTTTTCTCTTTGAGGTGACTCACCGTTATCTTTACCAAACAGTTCTCTTCTCCAAGGTAGCAGTAATCTCCAGAGACGTTCGTCTCCAGCCAAACATGGTCACCATTTATAGCATTTTCCTAACAAGGTAAAAGGTAACAGAAAGATCAATTATTCTCAAAAGATGTCAAAACAAAATCAAATGTCTGCATACTTGAATGTAATTTTACAGCCAAAGTTTTCATTCATTTATTAATCAAGGGCTAAATCTTAAAATTTTTTTTCGATTAAGTGTGGTTCCTGATATTTGTCCTGGACAGAACAGGTAGGAGAGAATTAGTAAAGACCGAAAGAACTGCAGATGCTGTAAATCAGGGACAAAAACGGAAGTTGATGGAAAAGCTCAGCAGGTTTGGTAGCATCTGTGAAGAAAAATCAGAGTTAACGTTTCGGGTCTGGTGACCCTTCCTCAGGACTGATGGTAGCTAGGAAAATGTCAGTTTATACGCAGAAGATAGAGAGTGGGAGGTGGTAAGGAGTGAACAATAGATGGGGATTGAGCCCAAAGAGAGATAAGAGCAGTTGGACAGCCAAAGGAGTTGAAAACGATCTGGGAAGGAGGGTGAATAGCTGCAAATGGGGACTGTTAGTGACTAACAATAGGAACTGTGTAATAGCAAACTATGTGATAATAAGGCCTGGTATATGGAGTAGGGGGCTAGGACATGGGAGAGTTTAGGCCCTAAAGTTATTGAACTCGATATTGAGTCCGGAGGGCTGCAGGATCCCCAAGTGTAAAATGAGGCGTTGTTCTTCCAGCTTGCACTGAGCTTCGCTGGAATACAGCAGCAAGCCTAAGACAGAAATGATGGCCAGAGAACACCATGGCGTGTTAAAGTGGCAGGCTAGAAGTTCAGCATCTTTTTTGTGAGCAGAACGTAGATGTTCCACGAAGAGGTCACCCAGTCTCCGCTTCGTTCCCCAATGTAGAGGAGACCACATTGTGAGCAGTGAATGTAGTAGATTAGGTTGTAGAAGTGCAGGTGAAGTGCTGCTTCAGCTGGAAGATGATACAAAATTAGGAGGTATCGTTGACAGCGAAGAAGGTTATCAAAAATTACAGATGGATCTTGATCAGATGGGGAACTGGGCTGAGGATTGGCAAATGCAATTCATTACAGATAAGTATGAAGTGTTGCATTTTGGAAAGTCAAATTAAGGTAGGACTTATACAGTAAATGGTAAGGTCCTGAGGAGTGTTGTGGAACAGAGGGATCTAGGAATACAAGTTCATAGTTCATTGAGAGCGGGGTCACAGGTCGACCGGATGGTGAAGAAGGCATTTAGCATGCTGGCCTTTATTGGTCAAGGCATTGAGTATAAGAGTTGGGATGTTATGTCACAGTTGTATAAGTCATTGGTGAGCTGCATTTGGAGTATTGTGTACAGTTTTAGTCACAAAAGTTAAAAGTTAAAAGACAAAGTTAAACTGGCAAGTGTGCAAAGAAAATTTACAAGGATGTTGCCAGGACTACTAGGCCTGAGTTATAGGGAGAGGTTAGCCAGGATAGGACTTTATTCCTTAGAATGTAAGAGAATGAGGTGTATAAATCATGAGGGGCATAGATAGCATGAATGCAATATAGTCTTTTTCCCAGGGATGGGGAATTGAAAACTAGAGGACATAGGTTTAAGTGAGAGGAGATAGATTTAAGAAGAACCTGAGGGGCAACTTCTTCACGCAGAGAGTGGTGCGTATATGGAATGGGCTGCTGGAGAAAGTGGTTGAGGTAGGTACAATAGCGAAATTTAAAATACTTTTGGATAGGTACATGGATGAGAAGGGTTTAGAGGGATATGGTCCAAATGTGGACAACTGGAATTAGTTGAGTGGGCGCCGTGGTCAGCATGCACCAGTTTGGGCCGAACCGCCTGTTTCCATTGCTGTATTACTCTATGACTCTTTGTATGTTTGGGCGCTTGTATACTGGGGACGGAGGACATAAATGGGCAGGTGTTACAGCTTTGATGGTTGTAAGAGAAGGGGCCATGGGGCTGTGGGGTTTGTTGGGAATAAAAGAAGAGTGGACCAGGGTGTCCCAGAGGGAACGGTCCCTGCAGAAGACAGACAAGGGAGGGGAGAGGAATATGTGTCTGGTGGTGGCATCTCAATGGAAATATGTGTCTGGTGGTGGCATCTCAATGGAGGTGGCGAAATGGCATCTGATGATCTTTTGGATGTGGATGCTGGTGGGATGGTAGGGAAGGACAAGGGAAACCCTATCACTTTTGCAGGAGGGAAGAGAAGGGGTGAGGGCGGCAGTGTGGGAGATGGGTCGGACCTGGTTGAGGGCCCTATCTACAACGGTGTTGGGGAATCCTTGGTTGAGGAAGAAGGTGGACATTTCAGAGGCTGCCTTGTAGAAATTGGCCTCATCTGAACATATGCAACAGAGACGGAGGAACTGAGAGAATAGAGTGGAGTCTTTTCAGGAAGCAGGGTGTGAGGAAGTATACTCCAGGTAACTATGGGAATTGGTGGGTTTGTAGTGGATATTAGTGGCCAGTCTGTCCCCAGAAATGGAAACAGCGATGTCGAGGAAGGGAAGGGATGAGTCAGAGATAGATCAGGTGAAAGTGAGGGAATTAGTGTCCTGTTTTGTGGGCAGGGACCTGGAGGACCTACTGGACAGGTTGGAGCAATGGTGGAACATCCTCTTCCACCAGGACCAGCAAGAAAAGCAAAGCAATGGAAAGCAGGGTGTTGTGAGCATGTTCCTGAGTATGCAGTGTTCTTGCTACAGCATTGAAGTGCAGAAGTGTCTTGTAAGTGGATCAGAGATTTTTTTTTATTCGTTCACGGGATGAGGGCATCACTGGCTAGGCAGCATTTATTGCCTATCCCTAGTTACCCAGAGGGCAGTTAAGAGTCAACCACATTGCTGTGGATCTAGAGTCACATGTAGGCTAGACCAGGTAAGGATGGCAGTTTCCTTCCCTAAAGGGATTAGTGAACCAGATGGGGTTTTCCAACAATCGTCAATGGATTCACGGTCATCGTTAGACTCTTAATTCCAGATATTTTATTGAATAAAAATTCCACCATCTGCCGTGGTGGGATTCAAACACGAGTCCCCAGATTACTACTATCCCCAGAATGTTGTCTCGTCTCTGGATTAACAGTTCAGTGATAATACCACTAGGCCATCGCCTCTCCCCGAAATGAGATGTGCAATGAGGATACTTAGGGGCTGGCATATGTCAGATGCCAATCACTGTGGATATGGGGTGCATGTGGTCGGTGTCCATAGAGCGTGCCCTGAGATATTGGTGACTGATGTCCAACATGGAGGTCCTTTGGAGCAAGTGGTAAGTTGCAAACACCAGGTCCCTGCTCAGACTCCCAAATTGAGAATTTTCAATGTCTAGTTTGACATGTTTAGTAAGAAATGAAGCTAAAAATTATTGAGGCAAATTGTGCCATTAACGAGGCATATGACAAGCAAAATCCTTCTTAATTGGCAACTCACCACTGCCTGCTGAGAAACAGGCTTTGTAGGTTAGCAAATGTGGAAAAGATGGAGCGAGATGCTCCAGACGTCAAGATGGATCATGCTGGATGTCTCACATGATTCTGCCACAAATCTCGTCACACTCTAAATCAGTCAGGACCCAATAAGATTGCCCGTCAGAGTCTCACTGAGTTAACAACATTGTAAAATTTTCTGATCTTGCAGTCATCATGACAAAAGTGAGAATGCTATTCAAAGGGAGCAACAATTTGTACTGCATGAGAAGAGGGTGCTGACTTGGTGGTAAGTCAGACTGGTTGACACGCTGATATGGAGAATGCTCCAGAGAATATTGTCCACCAAATGCAAATGTTTAGTTCCAACAGATGTAATGCCTGGACATGTTCTTTCAGCTTGCAGAAAACAGGGGCCAGAGTGTGCCTGTATGTGGTTACTGGCAAGCATGATGAGTCACATTGCAAACAGCACCATTTTCCCATGTAGTATAAATTGTTTTTCCATTTGAAATTGGGCATTCTTGCATCTGTTCTGAACAGTGCATGACAAAAAGTTTCAACAACAAGTCTGTTTTTTCACCAGTACTCAAATTCTGTCCTACCAAGTGACTAGTTGATATTTTACGATTGTAGTTTTGTTTTAAATTAGAAACAATGCAAAGGGCAAGGTCTACGGTGAAGAATGATAAGAAGGTTGAATTGTATGAGAGAAAATGAGGAAAACTAATGCACGGGGGTTAGGGAGAATCAGTACCTTGGTATTATAGGCTTGTGGCTTTGGGGAGAATTGGAAGACTGACTAAGTGAGGACTTCCACAATGTAACAGTCATGGGAACAACATTACCTCCAATATCGTGACCTCTCTTTAACTGCCGGCAAATATTTTTATTCCAGTAGATTCAAGGTGAAGTGGCAATGATGATGATTTTGCAACAAATGTGCAAAGTTCAAAGGAAGAATAATCATTGTGGTGTTGAAAAAATAGACTAATTAACAGAGAGCATCAAGGTAAAAGACAGGCTAGGAGAGTCTGTAACAATTTGGAAAAAACGGGGAAGACACATTAAGAGATGAACAAAAACTCATATCAAAGATTATGGTAATTTTTAAATATATTTAAGAAAAAAGACTAGTAATGTGGAATGTACCTCCATTTAAAAAAGATGCAGTTAGGGCTATTACAAATAATATGGAAATCGCAGAGTTTAACAGAAGAATTTCGAACCATGTTCACAATGGAGGAAGAGGAGAAAATGCATGCAATACAAGAGTGAGTCCGGGGAGAAATATATTGATTTTAATGTAGTAAAAAGCAAATGTAATGGAGAAAACAATGGGATTCAATAGAGACAAATCACCAAGATCTGAAAGAAACGGCTGGGCATATTGAAGATTCATTCATTGTAATTTCCCCAAATGCTGAATTGTGCCTTTGGATTGAAAAATTGAAAATATTATCCTGATTTTTTTTTAACAAAGGACAGAAAAATAGGTAAGTAGAGATTTATCTTTTTGATGTTAGTTGCAAGAGACTAACTGGAAGCTTTCATCAGGGACAAAGTTACTAAATATTTGAACATGATCAAGGAAAGCCAGTGTAGGTCATGTCT